GAGAGGCCCGGTGTTTTTACCTGTCAGCGTGGCGTTTAACAAAATATATCCTCTACGATAGATGGATGTGGCTCCCCTAAGTTAGTTGCTAAGAGATGCTAAGCCACTGCAACTTAAGCTCATGGTGAAACTTTTAAGGCTATGTTCACATTACCAGGCTGAAGTGACTCAAATCTGCTGTTTTCAGGGCTGTGTGGATGCAGAAATCTGATATTTTCAAATCATATTTGAATCAATTTCATACAGTATATGGATAGTTGTATTGGAACGCACCTCTTAATCACATGTGTATAAAATTTCATTTAGACCCATTGGTGTATAAAATCAAGCTCCTAGCCATGCAGTCAGCTTTACAAACAGTTGTGAAAGAATGGGTCATTCTGAAGAGCGCAGTGAATAGCATGGTACTGTCATAGGATGCCACCTTTGCAATAAATCAGTTTGTGAAGTTTGTCCTAGCTAGATATTCCATGGCCAGCTGTAAGTGGTTTTATTTCAAAGTGGAAGCATTTAGAAACAACAGAGAGCTACGAAGTAGCAGACCACATAAAGTAACAGAGCGGGTTTGCCCTGTAAGTGGTTTTATTTCAAAGTGGAAGCATTTAGAAACAACAGAGAGCTACGAAGTAGCAGACCACATAAAGTAACAGAGCGGGTTTGCCCATTGCTGAGGCGCATAGTGCGGAAAAGTCTCCACTGCTCTGTTGAATTACAAACTGTTCTGCATTCCTGGTCAGAAATTCAGTCCCACTCCAGTGAAACAATGAACCTCTTCATTGAAATTTTCACAAATTTTGAGCTTCACTGGCTATGATTAAAAGCCGAAATATTATCATATGGCAACCAACATAATGCATTACAGACTGAAACCTTTGCCCTTGAATAGAAAAGTATTAGCCTGCCCTAGGCATATCTTAGTACTGAAAGACTTTAACACCTACATATGTACCGTGTTGATGCGGTATAAAAATGCATGTCTACATTGTGAAAAGTTGAACCTTATTGTGAAATATAATTAGATTCACATTTGTAATCACATAAGTAATCACATTTGCATTATGTGTTATTAACATTTTATAATAATGACGGTCTAATGAAAATCACAACGTTATTGCGAAATAAAATTTAAAGACAAACATGAAATATAATACCTTTTATGGAATTATTTAAAAATAAAAGAAAATATTTATTTATTCATCTATTTATTTCTGGAAGTAGTTTATGTGCTTATTTAAATAAGTTGCAGTAAAGTGAGATCAGATTACAAGTGGTTGGTCGAGACGCATGCAGGGTTGCATGTTAATAGCAGATGTTAACAGATGTATGTAGCTCTGTCTACTTGTGATCGGATCACCCAGGACGCATGTTAATAGCAGGTGTGAACAGGGTCTAAATGTTTCTTATTTCTCTAACATCAGATGTGGAGGCTCCTGGCTTTTCTTTGAGTGGGGTGAGGTCCCCCAATAACGCATGTAGACCCTTGAAGTTATGAGCTTGAACCCCCCCCCCCCCCCTTGTTATGCTATTACAAATTACTTTCATTTAAAACTTTACTCAAAACATAATTACATGGAACTGCTGAAAAACAAGATTATTAAAACCATGAGGTGAAGCAGAATAGCCACTGTTTGGTGTTATACAATAACAAGACTGGCGACAAGCAGCAGATCACTAGTTTAAATATGTGGGAGAATAGAACCAGATCCCATACTATTAATTAAACTTAAGAACATACAGGATACAAAGGAAAACGACTTCAAAGTCTTCTTGAATATGGGTGTAATTGTATTTCCTGGATGGTTTTGGGATTGGTCCACAGCTACAGACACCAACTTTTCAGTATGATAACTCAAAAAGTATCTGACAGATCTTTTTCCGAGTTGCACACAAGGAATGGAAGGGCCACCGTAGACAACAGTTTGCAGACAAAGTTGGGCTTTTAATAAAGATTTTTTTGGAGATGTGTACGGTAGGCTAGGGCAGTATTATGGTAATATTTTTGGTGTACTGTGGTATTTTTGTTTGGCAAATTTTATTGTAGGACTCCCTATCCCCCCACCCCCAACCCGGCAAGATCGCAAAATATTGGAAGAACATTGCTTTTGTCAATTTTCAAAATTTGTCAAGATACCATATTCTGCACTATACTGTATGCACAGTATGATGGTATGACAGCTTAGATGCTGCCTGAGCCTAGAGTGTGTGTGTGTGTGTGTGTGTGGGGGGGGGGGGTAGAGGTTGGGGCTGAGAGAGGAGTAGCAATTAGATGGAGGAGGGAGTGACAGGGTCATCTGGGGAATAAATTGTTGTTGTTCTGACAGCATCTAGTTAATAATGAACTTTTCATATTGATAAACTCAAATTAAGAGCCGATAGCTATTCAGAACACGGATCCAGCTGGCATTGTGGCGGGTTCCCTGCGCAGTCTCCCTGGTTCTCTGTCATCCCGGGCCTGCTGCTGTGTTACTGCAGTCTCGTGTGGCCTCCTGACACTGGCCTCATTGACATGCACTTAAGCTGAAGTGTGTTCCTACAGACATCCAAATAGATAAGGGAGGCTGCCTATTTTGTCACTGAGCTCATAACTCTTAGACTAGAGAGCTCTTTGACTAAATTTCACCATAAAAACGTGGACCTTCTTGACCTCTCAGCCCCAATGTTGGTCTTAGAAATTAAGACGGTGAAGGGTGCGTCTAGATTTAGTCGACATCCCACCTTTGGCATATTGATTTCATGGAGGCAAATGAGGCACAAGCGGGGGGTGGGGCTAGGCTTGTGCAGTATTACGGCAATAACGTGCTATTTTCATTCTCACCACTCGGAACATTTTATTGGAAAACACCGGAATAAGGTTGCTTTTTAAATACCATCAAAACATTGTATACCGCAGACTAATTTTGGTATAATGACAGGTAACTTTACTGGTATGTTTCCAAATTAGGTTGTACCCACAAGACATTTACAAGACATTGGGAATCATTTGCTGGTGTAAGGGAGGTTCTGCCGATTCTTGGGAGATTTTCGGTGGGATGTCTGAATTAGTATTTGTCTGATTTAGTATTTTAACACTTAAAACATTCTGTTCTCTTAGTTGTAAATTTTGAATGCATCTCTGTAATTACAAACCTATACTTCTGTCCCATAATGTTACGACAGAACACCCGGGTGAGATCAGAAGTCTTTTATTGGGACGAGGCAGGATCGGATCCAGAAGACAAGCGGGGTCGAAACCAGATATCAGTCCGATACAGTTCACCAAAGCCGAAGGAGCGTCCAGAGGGGATGTCTTGAAGCCGGGCGTTGGGGAGTCAGGAAACCGGGAAATCCGTCCGATGACGTGGACAAGACACACGAGAAGGAACCACGTGGGACGATCAGGGCTGGTCAGGAGGGAGGTGGGGAGGAGAAGGAGGCGCGGGCAGAGGGAGTAGGGAGAGTCGGGCGGAACGGAGCTGAAACAGAGACAGGGATTAGATTCGCTCGGAAGTGTCATAACTAACAATACCTCGCACGGAGCGATCTCACGATGTTAAATATTCAGTCCTCCTGCAAAAAGTCATTCAATATTAAAACCTGAAGAAATGACATAATGTATACATTAACATACCTGCCAACAGCACTACACACACCAAGGGATGCTGGAGCTCATATGTAGATGGTGCTCTGACCAACAAAGCAAAGTTACCTGATCACACGAGATGATACATCTGGCTTTTCTTACCTCAGGATGTGCTGTTTAATTATAAAGGCTTAAGCAGGACTTAGATGGAAAGATGGCTGCAGATATGAAATTTTGACAGGATCTATTTCTCATCCCGAACAACAGGCCAAGCATGGACCTTCTGCAGACTTTATTGTAAGGCGGAGTTGTAGCACAAACCTGCGCCCTAGGTACCTGACAAAGACAAGCCGATGCAGTACAGTATGAGGCCACCGGCTCCATGTGGGGTTTGTCCGCTTAAACGTTGACAGTATCTCCTGCCAAGGTGTTCTCTTGCCCTCATTCTTCTCACCGCTTTCGGGTTCGGGTGTCTGTGGAAGAGAGCCAGTTGGTATCTCTGGGAACTCCAGGCCTGCCTCAGCCCAGCATGCAACCCCCATCTTTATATGGACACCTGCCAAGTGCCCCAGTAGGAAGAACTACTCCATGTCCATGTGAGGTAGGGCCTGACCCGCCCTCAGACTTTAGTGGCATCAGGAGAATAGCCTTTGTGTGTCTGTGTCTGTGTGTGCATTATACCTTTTCATGCAGCATGATATTCTCCTAGCACAGGAGTGGTTAAGCACTTTACAAGTGGTACTACAACTGGTTTACATTGGCAGCCTTCCTGTGTAACCTCCATGGTCATCTCTGCATGGTTAAATTTCAAATTAACCCGTTTCCTTGTAGTGAAAATTGCAGCGCTATGCAATTGGCAATGTTTCCCTCACCCACCAGGAGGCGCTATGTGAGATCAGCCACCAGTGACACTTGCTTTAATCTCCACTGTCTGCTGTGGATTATGCAAAACGCAGCCAAGCACATGGGGCCTCCTAAGGACTCGGTGGCAGGCCTGTAATTAAAATGACATGGATAAATTACAATGCTGTAATTATAAGCAATGACAATACCAACAACAATTGTAATTATAAACAGAAATTATTATTTTGGTGGGCTGTGGCCTAATTTTGTTACATTTGCAATAATTTGCTGATTCATAATGTAGAATTCAGGGTAATCTTTGCACAGACAGCTAACAGCTTCCTGCACAGTACTGATTTGAGACACGCAGAGGGTGAAAATCCGTAAATGAAAATGAGGAACATCCTGTAAAACCCACAAATAACAGACAGGGTTTACACAAATTATAGACAGTGGGTTTTAGTGAAAAATGCACTTTATTGATCAGCTATTCCTCCGTGTCACATAGGGCATCTAGTTATATTTGCATGAACAAAATGTAGTATTAAGATGAGTAAACTTAACAGATGAGGTTAACAGGTTCATGTCTGATTCATTTAACACCACCCTTCTTTCATGTTTTGTATATTAGATAAGTTGTGCACTACTGCCACACTTACATAAAAATCACTGACCAAAAATCACATGACCACGGCTCTGCAAGCATTCACAGGTGCAAACCCGGATCGCACTTTAAATCCACGCTGCTGTGACCGTTCTGTGTCACATCAAGGGCAACGGTCTGTCCTCTGTTTTTAAAGGTATAGAAAAACACAAGGAACAGGGAAGTTATTGCTTTCTGGCCAATGGAAAAAAACGAAATCACTGTCCATGGTGCTGACTTATGCACAAGCAATTACAAAAGAAGACTAGACACAATTAGGAAATTTGCGGGAGAAATAAAATTTGATGACCTATGTTAACAACTAGCTACTACTTTACAAAATGGAAGGACTGTAAAGGACTGTTTTGTTTCCGAAAGGAAGAGATACATTTTCTGACAACCCTTACTTTAAACTCAAAGCACATTGTCATGCTAATACACAGTGAGAACTGCATATCTGTCTCCATAACGAATAAACCTGCTGTTTTATTAATTATTGCTCTTTTTTGATTAAACGTCCCTATGACAGTCGGAAGCCAATGAAACATTGAAGTGAACTATTTAGTTAGAAAGAGACTGACTCTGGCTTTAGCGCAAAGTTAATTATATCTGCAGTTAAGATACAGCTTTGTTGGTGTGACCATTTAACTGGAATAAAGAAGCAGTTGAAAAGAACACATTGGTGTTTTTCATCACACTCCAAACTATATTAAGGAATTGTGTCACTTGCTAAATGCGGGTAAAAAAAATAAACTCTATTTCTCTCTCTTTCTCTCTCTCTATACATACAAACACACACACACACACACACACACACACACACACACACACACATATATATATGTCCTCCTGAGACCCAAGGAAAAAAGTGTCCTTCAATTGTAGGTTATTTGTCTTTGGAGGAAATAAGACATCTTACAATTTAGATTTTTTCAAATTAATTTTTATTTGTAATTTCACAGCATGTCCTCTTTAGTGTACAACAGAAATACATAAGTTTCCTTACATCAGTGAAAAGATGCACTATAGATGCAAAAACAAAATGTCCACTACAATGGACATAAATGAATGGGTGGGGTCTCAGGAGGATATATATATATATATATATATATATATATACACACACACACACACACTCTCTATATACAGTATATACATATATACACACATGCATTGCATAATATATTTATTGGTACCCCTTGTACAGATCAGTAAATTCACTTCTCGGTGAAGTATCTTCATCTCACACTGTAAAAATGAGAAAAATCACATTTTGATTCAAATTAATTTATTCAAAAGAAAAACAAATCCAGGTCAGGTCAAGCTGGGGAGGATGCACTGAAGATGCCACACCCACCTCATATATGAAACACCTTGGGATCCTGGTTGTTGACCCTTCCAGATCGGGTGGTTCACAGCTGATTGGAGGATCGGCCTCAAGAACTGTGGACCCAGAGATGTCCAACGTCCTAGCTGGAGGGTCATCTTTAAACAGCCACTCCAAGTAGCTGGCCCAGAGGTTCACAACTGTAGTGTTCCTTCACCTGCCCTGATTGCTACTCTCTGAGGAAAAGATTCAGATGCACGTAATGCTTCGATACCTCTGTAAGCAGGATGTGGGTCACTAGACTACAGATGGTGTGTCACCTGCTCACAGATTCATCTAACAAACACGTCTTTATCTGCCCTCAGAGGCCTCACAGCTGTCCTCCTCAATTGCTGGTACAGACGGGAGTTGCCACCGAGTCCTGCCCGGCGCCTCCTCTTGATAATATCTAGGGTGCCCTACGACATGAAAAACCTCCTTCTGGCAAAACCAGTAACACAAACATAACCCATAGCAACCTTCAGGGTCTTGTCACGGAAGGTCTCCCACATCACATTAGAGTAGGCAGTCACACCCAAGTATACAAGTTCCTCACACAAACTACATGCAAACTTATCACAAATAGCTTGATCTTAGAGTCTTGCCAAGTCTACCCTCATTCTCCTAATAAGTGGTAGCCTACTGGATCTAAGCTGAATCTTCAGAGAAGCAACAAGAAGTCTGTGGTCAGAATTCACAAACTCTGCAGGCTGCAGGAACCTCCAGCATCTGCTCACAAGGATGCGATCGATCTCCTTCACTGCACCATCAGTGTACCAAGTCCAATGATGCAGCTCAGGGCTATGGAACCAGGATCCATCACCACACAGCCCCTGACCTTTCTCAAAGTCAAGGAACATGGAGCCACTTTCAGCCCAGGTACCAAACCCGCGGGGACCAACACAATCCTCATAGCCAGCCCTGTCAGTGCCAGTGGCCACACTGAAGTCACCCATGACCAAAGGAGTGTCACCTCATCGCACCTATCAACCACTGAGCGAGTAAAATGTCTCCCTCAACGAGACATCACTCGGCCGGAGCATACATTGAGATAACAGACAAGACACCCAAGGAGTGCCTTAGCCTGAGTCTCATAATACGCTAGTTGAAAGGAGTGACATCAGACACCATCAGGAGGAGCTGATCTGCCACAGCAATAGCTACTCCCTGAGTAAGGAAGGCATCAGAGCAACCAGACCAATAATAGGTATACCCACCTACAGAGATCGGGCCACTCCTAGGTCTACATGCCTCAGTGAGTGCTGCCACTGAAATGTGTTGTTTACAAAGCACCTCCGACAGCAGGGGAAGATGGTCATCATTCCGGAGAAACAACACTTTCCGCGCACCTACCCAGAGGGTCGCCTCAAACTGGGACCCAAGTGCCGGCATGCAGCAGGAGACACCTCAACACCACACCAGCTCCAGTCTCCAACAGACTTGACCATATAAGCTCTACAACGGTTTTGACACCGTCGTTTCGACATATCCCTCATTGAGAAATTATTTTAAACAAACCACCCCCTACACACACAGACACACACTCACAGGTATTCCTTACCACAATCTTATGAGCATCATAATATAATATATATTAACATGAATAAATTATTTTTGAGTCTTTACAGCTTTACAACTGTCCGTTTGGCCACACAGCAACACAATATTGTCTGCAATGCTTATTTTGTATGATAGTCTGTTGTTTTGTTCCATTATTTGATAGTTTGTTTGACACTGTACCATGGCTAAATAAATGGCAGACAAGAGATACAGTAGAAGACCTGGTAGCACATGCTTGTACTTCAGTACTTTATAATGTGTGACTTACGACTTCATTGTCAGAACATAATATCTAAGTAAGTTGAGGGGTATCTGCCTCTCTCTGTAAATGATTAAGCTGTGAATAGTGTACAGTTCTGTGTTTGAATGGGTTCCCTGTGATGGGCTGGCGTCCTCTTAATGGTGCTTCCCTGTCTTCTGCTATGTGGGATAGGACAACAAAATGGCGATGTATACATTAATCATGTAATAATGATAGATGCATTTACAGGCTAGAATTACTTAATGTTTGTGTTAAAGCTAATTATGGTAACACTAATCTATAGAAATGTAACTACCAAGAAGAAGCGACTGCGTGATTCTGTTGTCCCTCTGTGAATAACCTACATTGTGATCACAATGATATCAGGGACCAAGGCACAATAGGAAGCGCATACAGTATATAAGCAGAAGAATCTAAAAATAGTGAATAATGAAAAATATATATGTATATAAAAAAGAAAATCATGAAAAAGGAGAAATAGAGAATTCACTAGTTGCTATCTGAAAATTTAGGGCTTTCATAATAATACAATAATCAAGCAGTTTCCCGGTGCTGAATACGAAACGGCATCTGCGCTCAGACCCTGTTAGCTAATATTTGTTTCTGAGATCTGATTGTCAGTCCTTAAAAATGCGGCCAATCTAACACATTGCCTTTGACTGGACTCAGCGTTTCTGTAGATGTCGAGATCATGTTTTATTCATGATCTGATTATCTGAAGGGTAGAAGGGCTCCATCCATGATCCATCACAAGTGTGTGGGCACAGTGCAGCTGCTCTAACTGGGCTTCCTGTTCTTCAGGCAGAGAGGGAACCTCGAGAATCAAACTGAAATCTAATATTTGTTCTCCAGTGTCTATAGATCACACTTTTTTTTGAAAACTTGTGCATTATTTTGAAACCTTGTTCATTATATTAGACTACAAGTTAAGGCCTGCAGAAAATGCCTTGAAACTACCATCCCAGAATGTTAATGTAAAATACTTCTGAATTTCTTTGCCATTCATAAATTGAATTAAAACAGTTAAATTTGCCCAAAAATGAAGCTAAAAAACTGCATCTATGATCATTTTTTACAGTTTTTGACAAGTAATAATATCTGAGATTCCTTGATATTACTAGCATCCAGACCTCATCGAACCACCCAGCCAAATTATGCAACACACAAAAACCCATTCCCTTTCTTTCCTTCAAAAAAATGCAGAGAGAGAATTCACCAATTCACTCCTACTCTTCTGTGAGATGCCCAGGGATTTTTCATGACCTCAGAGAGTCAGGACCTTGGTTTTAGATTTCATCCATAGAGTGGCACCATTTTTACAGCACGTTGTCCCCATCACTGCCCTGGGGCACTGGGATCCACACAGACCACAGCATGGACTAACCTGTTGGCCACACCAACACCTCTTCCAGTAGCAACCCAGCCTTCCTAGCTGATTTCCCACCCAAGTACTGGCCAGGCTCAAACCTGCGTAGCTTCAGATGGTTTACAATGATCACAATGATAAGATATGATTCACTTTGACATGGTAGGAAAATAAATTTTATAAAATGTATAGTGTATAAACAAAATGTTGAGCGCCATAATTCAGTGATTTATCTGTACCACAGAAGACTAATTTAATCATAATCGATTAAAATGAGGTGGACAGCACTTCACACCAAAGACCCAACATCTGTCTCTCAGACTAGCTCTCCTCAGCTCTCCTGTATTCATCACTGACGGCCTTTGCATCTTTGGCATTTGCACTTTATGTCTTAATTTAAAAATTGCGTAAGTGACGTTAAACCATGCAGTTTGGAGCTTGCACGTTCTGCCCGTATTCCTCTGGGTATTCCAGCTTTCTCATGCAGCCTGCTATCATGCTGTTAGGTAAATCGACGTCTCTGAATCTCCCACAGTGTGTGGCATTGTGTCTCCAGGGAGCCCCCCCCCACCCTGGCACCCTCAGTTTTCCGGGACAGGCTCCAGGCTCTGCACGACAGCAGACTGGATAAGCGGTCGGCAAATAGACGGATCGATGTTTCTGGGGATATAAAAGTTGAAATGGTTTAGACACCTACAGTTTGGGACATCAGCACCCTAAGCCATAAATACGGCTAATTAAGCTGATAAATGACCTCCATTTCCAATCCCTTTGTAACAGAAACCAACCCCTTGAGTATTTTTCCATCAATCTTTCCTAACAGGACACATGCTCACAGACATTTTGGGCAATTCAGATACCAATTACCCCACGTTCAACTATTTACAATGGGAGGAGACTGAAGTATCCAAAGAAAGCCGGTACAAGCACGAGGAAAACGTGCAAACTTCACAGGCACAAGGAGCCTCAAAGAAGCACAAAGAAAGCATGAAAGAAGCGACTTTTCACGAGGGTCTGTTCAGCTGCTCTGGCATCTGTGCCCACACTCTCGTTAACAGACATGCTGATGGTACTAAAAGTCTACAGTGCATTTATATGTTTACCTTTCATGCACATGCACCAAATATAATTATACCTAAAAACATACTAAACAGTTTCTTTATGTGGTTCTTTATATATGTACACACGTAAAACCTATGCTTTATTGTTAGTTATATAGTTTCGTTATTCTACATGTTGAGTCTAATGACTATTTTGATAAGGTAAAAGCACAATGCCCTGCATAGCCTTGGCTTGGATTCGTCCTCGGCCTGTTTTTCTGCATCTGGCCTCATCCCCCTGGTAGAGCATTAGCTCTGATAAGTGCACAGTGTCACTTCTCCCAAGGGCTGCGACTGGTCACGGCTTCTATTTTTAGCAGAGGAAAGCCACCATGAGGAAGGCAGCGTCAGTGGAATCGTGTGCGATTACGACTTCATCAGCCGGCAGTTTGAATCGATGTCCTTTCGTTTTCGCATTACATCCGTGGCAATGCGCTCGCTGTGCTCTCCTGAGGAAAGAAGGGGAAGAAAAGCTGCAGAATATAGCCAAGACCTGCTGTGCTTGCTACATGCCACCATGGTAACTTAATTATATGATTTCATATGATTTGGCAAGAAGAACATTTTAATCAATCTGCCACACAGCTGCCCTTCATAGTGTTTCTCACAGAATGGCTATATGCAGTGCAGACAAAAATGAGCTTTAAGCCTTTTGTTAGCTAAAGAAGTTTTTTTAAACCTACCACCTTTGTTTGCCCTAGTGCTTATTTATGACTATATTTATATATAATTATGATAAATAAATGAGGTTATCAGCAATCAGAATAGACTGGAATCACCTGGTGTTCAATGCTTGCTAACTTCAATGCATTTACACCTCACTTGACTTTATGAGATGTTTAATTCATCAAATGTTTGCTTTAATAAGTTGGGTTCAGTTTGTTTTTGATTAATTCATGGGAGATGGAACTGAGAACAGGTCATGTTGTCTGTTGTCTCTCTCGTTACATGCCCAGCTCCTACATTCCCGGCCACTGTGATCCTCCTCAGCTGCCTGAGATCACACAAAGAACCTGTCGCACATGTCTTGGAAGAACTGAAGAAAAAACAACTAATCTAAGTTTCCTTCCTCTTGAAAATATGCACTGCAGAGGAAGTTCAAGGTTCTTTCAGTTTCTGTAAAAAATCATAGTGTAATAAATATACATATCCAGAGTTTTTCATGCTAAATGTAAATTTAAAGCTTTGAGATTAATCCATTATTAAGACACAGTATTGTTTTGTAATAGGCTTGGCTGTCAAGACAAAGATGTTTTGTACACACAGGGAAAAGCATGTTGTAAAAATCAGATGATGGGGGAAAATGTTTTCCAGAGTAACAAAAGGAATTATCTTTGTAGCATAATCAGGACTAAAATAACACTTCAGTGATTTTGTGTTCGTATAACCTAGAGCAGACTACAAGTTTTTATTACATAGCATACCACGATTATACTGTATAAAGCAGAAAATTATCTTACTTGTTGTACTTTATATAACCATTCTGGCTTTTGGTCAAAATTAAAACTTAAAAATGCTGGCAAAAAATGTAAACAAATTCCAAGGCTTCAACTATAAGAAATCACACAATGTTACTTGCAAAAGATCACACTTTTGTGTAATTTTTTTGCTGATATCTTGCTATTTTTTTTGCAAATATTACACTTATAAATCTTATGATGTAGTGATAAAAAATAACTATTGATATAAAGAGCATGTAGATCCCTTTCAAAGGAAGTGGGTGTTTCAAATAACAAGGTAATGACCCAGAATAAAAACTTAATACAGTGGCAGCAATAAAGGGCATTAATTATGAAATCTTAACCAATCATAGATGCGCAAAAAGGTTTAAAAACATATGGTTCGTGGTATTGTACTTTGTTGACTG